ACGGAGTTTTGTTCTGGAGTGCAGTGACGTGATCTCAGCTCACTGCATCTCTGCCTCCCAGGTTCAAGCGATTCTCCTGCCTCAGCCTCCCAAGTAGCTGGGATTACAGGCATGTACCCCCATGCCCGGCTAACTTTTGTATTTTTAGTAGAGATGGGGTTTCTCCATGTTGGTCAGGCTGGTCTTGAACTCCTGACCTCAGGTGATCTGCCCACCTCAGCATCCCAAAGTGCTGGGATTACAGGTGTGAGCCGCCACACCAGGCCCATGAAACTCACTTCTATTCCAAATAAGGAAGTTGAGGCCCAGGAGGCTGTGTTCTGCCCATAGTCACATAACCTTCAGTTTCCTCCTGTCCACTGGCAGCCTAGCTCAAAGTTATGAGGTGAGAAGGTACAGAAGGAGAAGTGAGAATTTAGAAAGTTTAGTCATCATCTTGGTAAATCCAAATATGCAAACCTATAATTCTTTTGAAAAGTGCATTTTCTCTTGTTCGAATGTTTGTCATAGGGAACCAGCTGTGTGTTCACTTCACTGAGGATGTGGGCAGTGATGGGGGTGGAGAGGTTGAAGGTGAGCCTGGAAGGTGATGATGGAGTTGGATCTGGGACGGGGAGTGGGTAAGAACTGGTAAGACTGTAGGAGTTTAGGACTAAAAGTGCCCACCATGATTGCACTTTCATATCCTCTGAGAAAAGACTTCTGGAGTTCTTGTATTCTCTGAACGTTGATTTTTTTTAAAAAGGGGCCAGGAACTGTGGCTTACGCCTGTAATCTGAGCACTTTGGGAGGCCGAGGCGGGCGGATCGTGAGGTCAGCAGATCAAGACCATCCTGGCCAACATGGTGAAACCCTGACTCTACTAAAAATACAAAAATTAGCTGGGTGTGGTGGCACGTGCCTGTAATCTCAACTACTCGGGAGGCTGAGGCAGGACAATAGCTTGAAGCCAGGATTTGGAGGTTGCAGTGAGCTGAGACCGCACCGCTGCACTCCAGCCTGGCAGACAGAGCAAGACTCTGTCTCAAAAAAAAAAAAAAGTTGACTTAATCTAATTTTAAGATACACACCTATTATTTTTTTTTTTTTTTTTGAGACGGAGTTTCCCTCTTGTTGCCCACACTGGCATGCAATGGTGTGATCTCGGCTCACTGCAACCCCCCGCCTCCTGAGTTCAAGGTATTCTCCTGCCTCAGCCTCCTGAGTAGCTGGGATTATAGGTGTGTGCCACCATGCCCAGCTACTTTTTGTATTTTTAGTAGAGACATGGTTTCACCATGTTGGCCAGGATTGTCTTGAACTCCAGACTTCGTGATCCACCCGCCTCAGCCTCCCAAAGTGCTGGGATTACAGGTGTGAGCCACGGCGCTCGGCCATACCTATCTGTTAACTAAAGATATAAGATTAGAAATTTTAACACAACTTCTAAGAAACACTTTCTAATAGTGACATTCAGTCACAAGATCCACAACTTTCCTCTGAGCCCTGGGAAATCCTATTTCCCTAAGACGAAACTTCCTAAGCTCAGAAGCTCACCAAGTAGCTATTGAATGAATGAGTGCATGAGTGAGTACAGGTCTTCATCAAGAACGCCAGAGCCTCCAAACAATGCAGGATCGCTTCTGTGGGGCCTTCTGAGATGGCCACCAGACCTTCTGTGCATTTCTAGTGACAGGAGTTTCCTCCCCTCTTGAGGCAGCCTGTTCCCTGGTTGCACAACTCAGGGTGCAGGTCTTCGTGACCTCTTTTCTCCTAGCTTACAACTCCTGAGCTACTAGTCCTGTCGCCTTGGGTTAGATTTCCCCGGGAGCAGACCTTAAAATACTGGCGAGGAGTAGGGAGGAAAGACAGAGAAGAGAAGGAAATCTCAAAGGTGTTCTTTTGGGCCAGTTAGCACCATGGAGGTCTCTGGGGACAGCGAATCCTAAGTCATTCCAACTAATGGGTAAGGGGGTTATCCACTCACTTCCCTTCCATGACGGGATGATTGTCGTTTCCAGAGGTATTGGCTCTCTAGCATTCCCAAGTTATCATGTACCCTGGCTGAAGGGATTCCTGCAGCTAGAAAAAGCCCCAGGCAGAGTCAGGGGGCATTAGGCAGCCTTCAGAGTGTGGAGGTAAGAGCCAGGTCCTGGTGGGGGGGGGAGCCCAGCAGTATCTTCTATACCTGTCATCTTTAGATTCCATGACTCATATTTATTGGAACGTCTGCAAATATTCAGACAATACAGTTCTGGCCCTTAGTAAATACCTGACAGTTTTAAAAGAAAGGGGATGCCAAATGACTCATTTTCCTGTCAGCAACATCCCAACCAGGCAAACGGCTGACACTCAGTGAGGGTTTGACTTTTCAGCCCCTTTGGGGGGGATCTCAGCCCAGTTTCCTAATTTTCTGAAGCTGGATTTCCATCCCTGCCCTTCTCTCTGATGTTTATTCCCCATCACCCACCCCATTCCCTCCCCTACCTCCAGCCTCCTTTCTAGTGTTCAGGACTGATCTGTCTCAGCAAGAAGTGAAAACAGATCTTGTTTAGCTTTGTGAGTTGATGCTAAGGGAGCACAGAAGTTATTTTCCTGTAGAGCTCACCTTTCTGTGTTGATTTTCCTGATAAAGATGTGTAGTAAAGCAGTGGAAAGTCCACTCTGAGGACACCTCTGATGTCCAGGGTTGTGGCAACGGACAGGAGGTCTACTGGGATGGAGGAGTGGGATTCATGGAGATTCACAGCTGTGCTTCCCTGTAGTTAAATAGGGAACGAAAGAGGATTCTTACCTCCCCATCCCTGGTCCATGGCCATGAGGGTCTGCCCAAGGCCAGAGTGAGTCAGGAGCTATGGCAGGGACAGCTGGCAGCACAGGCTCTAGGACCACTTGCAGAACTGGGCTGATGTCACAGGGGAGTGAGTCTGGGAGGAAGC